TCCGGGTTTTCTACCAGGAAGAGAAACCTGGACTTCAGGGAGGAATGGGAACTTGATCTCCTGTGGGCAGAAGCAGAGACTGGCAGAGATGGGGCTCCTGGTTTAGTTGTGTGTGAGGTCCAGCAGCATCCCAGCCTTTCTGAAGATTGGATTCTTGGATTTTTCCTCGAATCCTATAAATGCCCCCAGTATCCATCCAATGCAATATTTTCTTTACTTAAGCTAGTTTGAGTTTGTTCCTAATTTATCAACTCCACCCCAAATCCTCTGAATGGTAATTGGTCCCTAGTTTCAAAAGGAGAATGAGTTGGGGGGAGATAAAAGGTGACTATTGAGTGATAAAACCACCTCAGTGTGGGCAACTATACATAAAGGCTCACACAGGTGAATAGGGAATCTCTCAGCAAGAGAACTGTTTATACCACGTCTGTTTGCAGCTGCTTTTCAAAGAGTGGGTCATTAGCTTATGTAGCCCGACTGGCGAAATGGGTTTGCTACTTCTGATTCCACATTGTAGTTGGATATCCGAATGAGGGGGATTCTAGAGAGTGCCAAGTAACTGCCCTCCGGTTGTAACAATGGATTCATCTTCAATTTCGTCCAACTTCCCATGTCTGAAACCAGAACTTGCCCAGTGGGGACAGCTCATTGATTCGTGTATGTGGGCTGGGGTGTAATCACAGGGGAGCTCCAGGGTTACTACAAGCCCACTGCAGGGAGTCAAAAGCAAGGAAACAAAGTTAAATCATATTCTCCAGGGACCCAGGAACAAGGCACAAAGCCCAAAGGGTCTCAAACAGGACACAAAAATGGAACAAGGGGTAAGAATAAGAAAGAAAACTAAAGTAGACCACCTAAAAATGTGGCTGCCAACGGTACTGGCATGTCCAAGATTCCCTTTTTATTAACAGACTCACTTTGCCCAGATGGCATGGCTCAGTGGTTGAGCATCAACCTAGGAACCAGGAGGTTCTATGCCCAGGCAGGGCATATGCCTGGGTGCGGGCTTGATCCCTAGTATGGGGCATGCAGGAGGCAGCCAATCAATGATTCTCTCTCATCATTGATGTTTCTATCTCTCTCCCTCTCCCTTCCTCTCTCTGAAATCAATAAGAGTATATTTAAAAAATAAAAGACTCACTTTTCATTGATGTACACTGACTTGTGTACATAGGCCAATTTAGATTAAAACACTGATTACAGATGGACAATTCTAGCAACCATCCAAGGATATGGTTACCTAATGTACAATGAACCATGGTTTTGGGGAGGACCTGGTGTGTGCACTCAGAGGGGGCAATATGGAGGGCATCATGTTAAGCAAACATTCTTATGTGAATCCTTAGTCCCAGGAAGTCCTCTCCTTCCTTACCTTTCTTTGGCCATAGAAGCCACACAGCCATGAAATGGAACACATTCGAATAGTGTTCCATGCTCTGTCAATTAGTGTTAAAGTGACAGATAGGGAATTTCATAAAACATCTTTATTGATCCAAACATTTGGCTAGTGTTGGTGAAGATAACAAACATTATCTGGGCTCTTATGGAGGCTCATCATTGGGTTCTGTCCAGAGAAGCCAAGTCAAAAGCCAGTTGCCTATTATTTCTCAGGGTTATGGAATGTCAGCTCTCACCTATCGCAGAGGTTCATGAGTGTGGCAACAATTAGAATTGCCTGAGGACTTTTATTTATCTACTCAGGAGTTTTAAACAGTGCTGATGGCTGGATCTGACTAATGAAATAGCACCTTCAAAGCGGGGGAGAAGGGGGGTAATTCAGGCACTGTTGCTTTTAAAGCCCCCTCATGAGGCTCATGTGTCATTAGGGATGAAAAACATTCAGGAATTCAAATTCCTTTACTTTTAACACTAGAGGCCCAATGCAGGAAATCTGTGCAAGAGTAGGCCTTCCTTCCCCCAGCTGCCGGCACCAGCTTTCCTCCGTCACCCAAGACCTGGGCTTCCCTCACAGCTCTGGCTTCATCTGGAACGTCATTCGGAAGGACGTCTGGTCTAATTAGCATATTACGCTTTTATTATTATAGATGAGAAAACCAGGACTGAGGAGTCTGGGGACAGTTCTGAGCTGTTCGGTCTGCTTGGATGTCTTGTGTGCCTGATAAGCCAGAGCCCTAAACAGCAATCAGTCCAGGTCAGCTCCTTCCTGCCAGGTAGCTGGGCTGCACCACTTGCCTGCTCTTCCACTTCCTTCCCCTCTGCTACCCATTTCTCAGTCAGAAATCTCTAAAGTCTCTCTCCAAAGCCCCACTCTCCTAACTTACAGACTTGGTGGATGAGCTAGGGCCCGAAGTGCCTTGCCCAGGACCACCCATGGAGGAGCGGTGTCCAGCGTTCCATGTGCTGCCCCCACAGCAGCAATGTGCTGACCTTGCGCTCTCACCAGGGGGATGCTGGGAGGCTTGTTCATATTTAATCCTGCTTCAAAGTTCAAATTGGGACATTTAAAACAGGATTAGTTGCAACTTGGGCAAAGCTAGGAATTTGGGGATTTTGTTAATCCCTTTTTATTTGGTAAGCTAACTCATTGTGATGATGGGGGGGTGGGGAGGGAAGGGGTAGATGGGGAGGAAGGAACTGGGCTGGGGCCAGGATGAGGCCAGCAGAGGTGCAAAGTTGAAGAAGGTGCTCGCTCTCAAGGTCATGCACAGGCCTCCTTAAATTTTGTGACCTTTGCTCCTCACTTGCATTACTCTCTAGACCTGGCTCAGGGGCAGGAAGAGGGAGGGGAGAGGAAGTGGAAACATTTTACCCAAGCCTAAGAGCTCAAACTAGAATTTGTTCCAAGTTAAATAGAGTTGGAATGCTACTATGCCGGTCTTAGCCTGCCTGAGGCACCACATCCAGCTCAAAGACCAATGATCTCCAACTTAGGAAGGGCCAGAGCTGGGACACTCCTGAGGATGCCAGGCGGCGCTGAGGGGAGTTCACCTTGCTCAGCGCTTCCTCCTGCTTCACCAGCTGGAGCCTCTGGGTGAAGGTGGCCCCCGGAGAGGTGAAGAATAGAGAGTCCTGAGCATCAGCAAGTCTAAATATTCAATTTGTTTGTTTTGTTCCTTTGCCTTGAGAAGTAGCTTCAGACACCAGCCTGGGTCTCAAGGCTTTGCCTTGTTCCCTGCGTGGCAGGGCAAGGAGTGGGATTTCGGGCCATGGGAACGCCTCTCCTCTCACGCATGGAAATGATCACCCTTGAGGTCCTCTCTGATCCCAGAACCTGTAATTAGAGCTTCGCAGCCTTTGTCCGGGGTGAACGACACAGTCCTTGGGCAGTCAGCACCCACGGAGCCATATCGGGTTTTACTGAGACCCGGGATGGGTACCTAACTTCGTCTGCCACGGAAGAATTGCACATCCCTCCAGGCTCATGCACAGGGTCTCCCCTTTTCTGAGATGCACGTCACAGCCTCCCTCACCAAGAAGGACGCTTGATTACTCTCCTCTGACATTTCCTGTGTTGCTATATTAAGTATATTAATATTGGAATGAACAGACGAAGGCTATTGATGGAAAGACTGGTAAAATCCGAATGAAGTTTGCAGTTGAGTTAGTAATAATGTACCAGTGTTGATGTCTTAGTTTTGATAAATGTACCCTGGTTAAGTAAAATGTTAACATTAGGGACAGCTGGGTGGAGGTTATATAGTGGATCTTTGAACTATCTCTGCAATTTTTCTATTAATCTAAAGTTATTCCAAAATTTTAAAAATATTTAAAAATGCGTTAGATGTTTTATCATGTAGTGAAGTTAATAGACTGAGGTGTTGGCATAAGAATCTCAACCCAACTGCTTGTGAGTTCTTGAGCAAATAACTTGTGTCTGTTTGTTTGGCTCTGGAAGGGAGATAACACCCAGGTGGTCAGGGCTGATACTTGTCCACCAACATCGGTCCTCCCACAGTAATGGAGCATGGCTGCCCACCTTGCAATTACTTACGGTTCAGGTGGCTATTTTGCCAATGGCCAAATACGTGATCAGACTCTGGAAGCCAGTGCCGGAGTTGGCTCATGCTGGACACATTGCTCTAGATAGGAGGGAACACACATCAGCGGGGTGGTGGTGGAGCTGGGGTTAGAGGGATAGTGATTACGGTGCTCCATACGAAGTCATTGGGGAGCTTTAAGAAAACCCAGATGCCTAGGCCACACCCTGGGCCCATAAAACCAGAACCTCTGAGGGCAGGACCCTGGATTATTATTATCCCCCCCCCCAAGCTCTCCAGGTGTGACTGCAATGTGCACCAAGATGGAGAACTAGAGAACTAGGTGGTCTTTAAATTTCTCTCCACTCTCGAGCTTCTGCATAGAGCAAAAACCATGCTTTCGGACTTTAGAACGTGTATCCATATCAATCAATAACGGGTGTTTGTGAATAATGGGTGTCTGGACAAAGTCTGGAAGCCTCACATTGTAGGCTCACGTAGGAGGATTTGGGAAGTAGTGATGTTTCCTCCTTCTGACCCCTTGCCAATCTCGCCTTACCCCCTACTCACTGAGCAGAGCCAGCATGATTTTCCAAATGCAGAGACTCACCATGCTTCTGAGCCCTCCTTTCCTGACTGGGAGAAATAATTAAATGGACTTCAGTAAGGCAATAGAGAGTGGGGTCAAGAAAGAACTTTAACCAAGACAAATATGACCATTTAGGAAAATACAAATGCTACTTGCATGTGTCCATAACAGTTGGAAAAATATAGGCAAGCATAAAGAATAAAATTTATAATAATTTTATAATATCAATGTCAGAAATACAACTATTAACATTTTGGTCTATGTGTTTAGTTACTCTCTTATATTTATGAAAAGTAGGATGATGATGAATGTAAAGTTTTTGATCCTGCTTTGCCATTTGTTATTAATGTTTTGCACCAAAAATTGTTGAAATCCTGACTTGAATGTCTACAATAATAGTTTATCATATGGTTGTCCCATATTTTACTTAACTGTTTTTTATATCAATAAATGTTTTTCCTTTTGAAATTTACTTTTAGGGCTCCTGCCATGAGTAGTATACATAAAGCAGCTTGATTGCTCTATGTAGAATTGACATCAAGAGATTTTTGGAAGCATAAGCTTTTGCTATCTGGGCAGCTGGTGATTGTTGGTTTTGGTGCCCACCAGGGAAAAAAAAAAGAAAATTTCCTTTTAGAAATTTATTTTTTGAATGGATATCTTTAATCAAAATGCCTTTAAATTCCCTTTTTGTGGAGTGTGTGTGTGTGATAACAGGGAGCTCATTTCCATGTACAGCCATAATCTGCTCATGGATATTGTTTGGGAAAGTCTTGCTTGTTTTCTTAAAGAGATCTGGAGGCCTTAACAAATACCTATGTTTTCCTTCTATTCATTTCATATATTTTGGTCCAAAAATTTCACAATTCCATTCCCACCCTGGCTATTCCCCAGGGCTGTGAGCAAGAAAGAACAATATTTTGTAAAGGGCAGCGATTGTAGTCTTTTCTTGGCATGTTCCCCTAGAAAGCACTACACTTAGGGCTTTGTATAAATAAATAATACAAATATAGATCTTGTGGGGTAGGGCTCTTGCCTGCTGTTTTTCTGGAGCCTAAATATTGTTGACATATTTATAAGTTGAGGTTGGTTTGAGCTTTGAATTAGAACCAAGTAGAGATGTTTGAGTATTTGAATGAGGACCCAGTAGATATCAGTAGATATTAATTTTCACAGAAGACATTTTTTTTTAATTGAGGAAGAAGATGATGAAAAGTGAAGGGAAGTAAAAGGGAAATGAGAATGAATAAAAGGAGAAGATGAGGTTGCAAGGGCCCTAAAAAACAAGAACAACTGGGGCTCAATTTATTGTGCATCCAAGGCCCCAGGGATCCTGCTAAAATGAAGGTTCTGACTCGGTGGGTCCGGGGCAGGACCCAGGATTCTGGGCATCTCTCAAGCTCCATGTGAGTCTGACGCTGCAGCTGCAAGGACCTCCTCACCTGAGAAGTGGCCTTTTTGTGATAGAGCTGGTGCAGAGGCCCTCTCTCTCACTGCTTTGGCACTGGGTCTTTCTCATACCTATTACCTTCTTGGTCACTGATGGTGCTTTTTATCTTCATGTAAAAAGTGAGAAAGCTTTGCCCGGCCAGTGTGGCTCAGTGGCTGAGTGTTGACCTATGAACCAGGAGGTCATAGTTTGATTCCCAGTCAGGGTACATGCCCAGGTTGTTGGCTCAGTCCCTTGTAGGGGGACTGCAGGAGGCAGCTGATCAATGATTGTCTCTCATCATTGATGCTTTTTTTCCTCTCTCTCTCTCTCTCTCTCTCTCTCTCTCTCTCTCTCTCTCTCTCTCTCTCTTTCCCTTCCTCCCTAAAATCAATGTTATATATATAAAATGAGGAAGTTTTTACAGAGTTTTCCCCAATATTGCATGGGAGTTATCTTCACTCCCAAAGTCCCTCCATTAGCGTCTCCTTCCCTTCCACCATGACTTTTGATTTCTCCATCTCATTTCCAGTCCTTTTCCTGGCTTGAATCATGCATTCATTCAATTTTTCTGTCCTCCTCACTTTACCAAATCTGGTTTTATTTCTTTAGAGATTTTAATGGCCAATCCATCCTTGCACCAAGAACAGCCTTTCACCTTTTCTTACCTATTCCGCCTCAGAACAAAAGTACAAATGGAATCTTCTGAAGGCAGATGAGTTTTGATTAGACTCAACTTATAGCTTTGGCGGACAGCTTTTGCCCAGCTCCCAGACCACTGCCTTATGGAGTAATGGTTTCCAGAAAGTCTGGGCGAAGACTGATGTTTTCCCTGGAATGCAGTTTCTATGTCACTGTGGTGAACAGGAATTTTTGGACGTGCTGTCAAGGAAAGCCTTTGAAATTCTCTTTGGATGAGTCTAATCCCAAAGGCTGCCTTGCTTCCCTATAAATAAGAATTCTACAAGGCGAATGGCCAAAATGTTTGGTTCTCCTGCCTGAAAACAATGATTTGAGTGTGAATCACTGACCACGCATTGTAATGCCTGATGCATCCCTCCAAACCACTCATGATCAGCAAAGAGCAATTAAGGCTACGAAGCCAGAACAAATCTTCCCAGCTCCAACTATGCTTTTAACTCATGAAATCTTAACACTGTTTTGGCGATAGCCTCATTAGAGTGTTCCATGGTGCGTCCATTGAGAGACAATGCAACATTAATACCAGAGAGATGGCAGTGCTAGAAAGACTCTTCTGGCCGTTGCTGGCCTTGAAGATGGAAGGAGGGCCACGAGCCAAGGATGTGGGCAGCCTCTGGAAGCTGTGAAAGGGAACTCAAGGGCAACACCATCATTGTAGCCATGGGAATGGCTTTGCGGGGCTCAAGCAGCTGGGGTGCTTGCAGCGGATGGGGAACCGGATTAGAGCAGTAGATCCATGGGTGGGAGTTGTTGGGGTGGCTTTTGATGACATGAAGGAGCTCGAGCGGCTGTGACTGAACGGGGACCAGCTGCACATGTTACCAGAACTGCTGCTCCGGAGTGCCCAGGCTCTGTGGAGGCCGTGAGGGATGCTCCGTGGCCAGAAAACTCTCTGTGCTCTTACCCCTCACCCTGCGGGAGGGACAGAGTTTGGTCAGTGGGGTCAGGACTATCCTGTGACCTGCATGTCCTCACCTGGGAGAAACTGCTCAGGGTGTCTAAGGTCAGGCGTGTTTCTCCATGGCAAGCACCTGACAGAACTTGAAGTTCATCCAGTTCCTTGTGCTGCCTCGGCCAGTGCCTGGTTCTGGGGATGGGTCCGGCTTTGCAGGGAGGACCATTCCTATGCGTCTCTCACTGCCTTTGGTCATTGCCGTGGGTCAAATTTTTATACATTCAGCCAAGCCCTTCTTGGGCCTATTTCTATTTCCAGCGAGGAGTCATAAGGCCTATAAGCTTATTAACTACATGTAATGTCATACTTTTATTTGTTGTAAGTTTACTTCTTTCAGGTTTTAAGGGTAGCAGCTAATTCTGCTGCTTTATGATTTGTCAAATGTAGCCATAATTGTTCTACTATATATTTAATTCTGTGGGACCGTGGGTTGAACAGGACCTTCAAGGTTAGCTAAGAAATCTTTTGGCAAAGGACCCTTTAGTCTTTGCTGGCCTATCTCTAGTGATGGCCGTTCACCACCTCCGGAGGTAATAATTTCATTATTGAAAAGGTCTGCGTGTTAGAAACGTTTTCTTAACTTTGAGCCCTGAATCTGCTTCCTGATAATTTATGTGTGTGTGTTTTTCCTACCTTTGCTTTCTGAAAGTACCCAGAACAAGCATAAACTCTTGTTAGATTTTTGAAGGGTCATTAGGTTCTTAAATTTTGAGTTGAGAGGTTTTGGAGCCCCCTTCATCATTGTCGGTAAAAACCTGACCATATGTGATCATCTCTGCCTGTAAGGATTTATAGATTGTAAAATAGGCGGGTGTCACACGGTGATGCCTAGGCTACGGAGTGGCCCAAGGAGGGCGCGGTCAGCTGGGGCAGGCAGATTCGTTCTTACCAGAAACACCGCGCACTGGGCATGGGTCTCTTCCCAGCTCCCTTCCACAGCAGGGAAGGCCCCACTTGCCTTGTAGGCATCACCTGACATTGGCCCAGAGTTCAGGCAGAGTGAGCCTGCAGCTCCCGGAGCTCCTACCTTTCTTTCTCCTTAGCTGTCTAGAGATACCATTGTCTTACATTTACAGTGTACAAAGCACTTTCATACAGTACTGCTTCAAATGGAACCCGACAGCAGCTTCAAAGGATGAGTAAAGGAGGAATTATTACAGATAAGGAAATGGAGGCCAACCAAGTTGACCAAGGTCACACAATTCATCCTGTTATGCTGCTCTCCACTCAAGGTCAGGGCTGCCCACATTCTGAGGTGAGTGGCAAGGACGCCTACAGGAATCTGCTGGCTCAGACAATCCATGGCTCTGCTGAGCTCCACGGCAGGCAGCAGGAGCCTTGCCTGGGTGCGTGCCCTAGCCTAGGCTGTGGTCGGCAAACCCCGGCTTGTAAGCCCCATGCAGCTCTTTGGCCCCTGGAGTGTGGCTCTTCCACAGAATACCACGGCCTGGGCGAGTCTGTTTTGAAGAAGTGGCGTTAGAAGAAGTTTAAGTTTAAAAAATTTGGCTCTCCAAAGAAATGTCAATCGTTGTACTGTTGATATTTGGCTCTGTGGACTAATGAGTTTGCTGACCACTGCCCTAGGCCTTGCAGTTTTGGTCTCCAGTTTTCTAATTGTGCTTTTCCCACTCACTAACAGCTAGCTTCTGGAATGTGTCTGCCTAAGCTCATCAGGCCACCTGCTCCTCTCTCCCTTGAATGATGGCCCTGGATTTGGACCTAGATCCTCAGAATTTGCCTGTAAAGCCCACACCTGTTTCTTTTGTGCAAGGAAGTAATAGACTAGTTATCTCTAGATCCCACAGGGCTAGGAGGCTGGGGGAGCAAATGAATGAAATGAATTGGGAAATGAATATTTCCTTCCTGCTCCACATTTTATTCCCTCTCATGAAGAATTTCTAGTGGCGTTCCGGTAGCTGCCAGGACCGGTTTGGCTCAATGGATGGAGCGTCGGCTTGGGGACTGAAGGGTCCCGGGTTGGATTCCGGTCAAGGGCATGTACCTTGGTTGCGGGCATATCTCCAGTAGGGGGTGTGCAAGAGGCAGCTGATCGATGACTCTCTCTCATCGATGTTTCTAACTCTCTATCTCTCTCCCTTCCTCTCTGTACAAAATCAATAAAATATATTTAAAAAAGAAAAAAGAAAAAAAAAAGAATTTCTTGTGTGTCCTTTTGAAGATTTAAAAGGATGTCTCAGAAAAACAAAAACGACGTCTGTCTTATGGATGGTGGCCTTGCCGCGAGGATGACCCCTCCCAGAGAGCCTTCGCTCTCTGTGAGTTGCGGAGGTAAATTTCCGTGCCACACGTGGGCATGCTGAAAGCGATGACCCATCACCGAAAGCCACAAACCCAGTCAGAGGTGAGCCACGGGCTCTAAGTCACTTTACTCCGAAACCGTGTCTTTCTCTAAAATGACAGGCAACCCTGGAGAGCCTGGATCCATGTTCTATTCAGCTGGGGTAAAGAACTGGTTATAGATCTCCAGAAGGTAGAAAGTGACCCTCTCCCCTCATTCCC